GATTTATACAATTAAGTAATTTATTTAATTTTATATTTTTAATTTTGTTTAAAACACAAAGCAAGTATATTAATATTTTTGCAATTATTATTTCTTCTCTTAATCTGTAATTAATTTCGTTTTTGTTCATTTTATGCCACATTTCTGTTTTTAACAAGCAATTTGTTTTGTAATAAGCTGCCACAGCTGTTGACACCTAGTCTCTCTCTGTCAATATAGTCTGTATATATAAAAATGAAAAAATATCTCTCAATATATGTCTATGCAAAACATAATATATTTATATATTTTCACATATTTTCCATCAATATTCGCTTATCACTTTCACTATTTAATCTTTTTGTTTTTCCTTTCATTGCCTTTCGCTTGAGTTCATTTTACATTTTGTGATAATAAAATTAATAATAAATATCACCAATTATTTTCTCATACGTATTGCTTGTTTTGGTTTTTACAATAATAATTATCGCAACCGCACTTCATTCGATTGATCCATTAAAAATTATTGTAATGAATTCGGTGTTCACCACTTAATTGAACCATTCAAAAGAGAATTTTCTTTTTCTATCATAATTACTTTTCCAATTTGATTGCATATGTGTTTTTTTTAATATATTTTTTTTTTTTTTCAAATATATAATTGTGAAAAATTCTCTCTCTATGAAAAAGTTGAAGTTAATTCTCAGACGACCGAAAAAGCCACATAAATAAAGAGTTATTTAGGAAAATCGTAATCCAAAGCGAAAACATATAAACTTAATCTTATATTTTTATAAGTTGGGAGAAACTAATTCAGAGTCATGCAGAGGGACGTTAATTGTGTGCACAGGGTATAAGGGGCTAGAGTCAGATGGTCTATCCGTTAGTCCAATTATCGATGACTCGTTCGAGCATTTCGACTGGTAATTGTCGAATGACACGCAGGATTTTTTGTTTCAATCGAAGCGAGATTATTCGCATTGGCTTTAGACTTTACAAAAAAAAAAAAAGTCTAGCCGTGTGATATCATACGATCTTAGCTTGGATCGACCGGCCCAAAACGTGAAATTTTCTATACACCGCAATGTTCTCCCAATAAATATTCATTGACTGACGCAATGTGTAGGAAGTGGCGCCGTCTTGTTGAAACTAAATGTCGTAGAGGTTGCGGGCTTCAATTTTAGGCATCAAATAGTCGATATACCAATGATTCCACCGGCTCAAAAACGACAATAAACCGTTGTTTTTTCAGGATGAAATGACAGTTCTTGAATCTCTTCAGCTTACTTTTCGTTCCAAATGCGGGAATTTTATTTGTTTACATACCAATTGAACCAAAAATGAGCCTCATTGCTGTACAATATTTGGCATTGGATCTTGGAATTTGTGAAGAGCCTTTTCACCTTGACCGATATTTTTGTTATACGGTTAGACGTCCAGATAACCACAAGAAGCAAATATGAAAAGGCACTATCAAATTTCGCCATTCTTAGATGAGAGGTGTAAATCATTGAAAGCAGTAAGTTCTTTTTGGATATTTCCACTGATTCAACATAATAGATCCTACCGAGTGTAGGAGTGGTGCAAGTCCGATTTTGTAGCTTTTCGAACTTTATCACAAGAATATCAAGTGTTGATGTTGTTTAGTTCATACTTATCGAATAATTGCGCAGATATGAGGTTTCAATTAGAAGTGGACGATGCCACGCCTACTGATGTATTTTATATGGATTACATTGAAGCCTGCTTTACTATTTCTCTATATGGTTAATGTTTCCGAAACTTTTCTAGGAATGGTTAACGGGTTTAGGTATTGTATAAGGAGTTGGCGTGTTTATTATCTACTTTTGCCGATACTGAGACTCTATGACGACATGCTAGAAATAAAGACTTCCACTAAATTTGTTTCATATAACTTTACTAGTTTATGAGACATGTAGTATACTGCTCACAGAACATTATCAGTGTTCACGTATCCAAAATTTGTAAAAAATAATGTTAATTAAAAGTTTTTTAACCAAAAACAAATGCCACAAAAATTTGATCACTCCGAAAAACTCCGAAAGTTTCCGAAATTCCTAAATTACTAATTTTCCAACTAGAAGTATTCAATCAGCGAGAATATACTCGCCTCTTCTGGTTCATATATAAATTTTAATCTCAGACGATGAAAGAGAGGCATACCGATGCAAGATGCTTCGCGTGCCACGCCTGTCGACTGCTGGAATTGCACAAATATTTTTGCTCCCTACTTACTTGAAGTGACTAAAAATACTATTAGCAGTAACAACAACAAGCGAAAAGATTTTTTAATGGTGCGCCCATTAAAAGCAAGTGGCAATATTGTCAAATGTGGCACGTGACTCACACTAAATTGCGCACAGCGCAAAAAATTGGCACCTCACATCGACGGAGTTCATCGAAGGCAGCGGCAATGGAAAGCAGCCAAGCTTAGAACTTATTGTTGTTGGTATTTTGAAAAAACTAGCGAATAAAATGTATATTATTATTCGAAAAGCCTAATGAAAAATGCAATTTCTATATATTATTATATTATACAAATAAAACAATCTTCAAATAGTTTAAGTGCTCCTTTTAAAACGCAATACACATATATTTTGAAAATATTTTTTGCTCCGAAACTTTTCGGAATTAAGTATTTATTGCCATTATGAAAATATGGTCGGTAATAAATGTAATCCCGTAGAATATTATTACCCGAAAAGCCTAATAATAATACAATTTCTATATATTAATTAAACTTTTAATAATTTGAGCATTGGTAGCACTCATTTTCTTATAAATTGAATATGAGGTTCAACAATTTGGTTTTACCAATGGAGTCCGAACTACGTAGTGTGAACACTCTTGAGTTAATTTAACAAAACTTATGCTCGAAAAAGCATAATTATCTTTTAAAAATAAATTTTTAAACTTCATATATGTATATAAAGTTAATACTCCGAAATTTAGGAGTTGACTCCGAAAACTAGAATTTTAATTATCTTTTAGAAATCAATTTTTTAACTTCAGATTTAAAAAATAAATACTCCCAAAATTAATAGTTGACTGCGAAAACACAGACTTCATCTAGCAATAAATTTGTAAACCAAAATCACACAAAACCGTTTAAAATTCATAATAGAACTAAGAATACGCACACATATATGAAGAGGACCAAACCTTGTCTATCTGCCTTTAATGCGTCACATCTCTGTTCACTTCATTAGAACTTTCTATTCCTTTGGCAGAAAACTTACTTGTAAAAGCAATAATAAATTTATCCACTTAAGTAGACACGGTCTTGAAACTGAATAGGGCATAATGTTATTATTTTATCTCAAGTAGATTACGACAGTCTAAGTTATTTATTCCAGTTGTTTATACGGGTAGCCACTCTCTATTTATCCTCATGAATACAATAGTCGTAGTGGTTATGAGAGCTTAATATTTAAGCTCTCTTCTTATAATCTTATCTTCCCATGCCTTGAAGCTCACATATTTATGGTAGCAATTTCCAATTGATATGAAGTAATTTTTTCGCTCTTCAATTTTATCTAAATTTAGTCTCTCTGAAATATGCTATTGCTTTCTTTAGATCTTCATATCAAATAACTGTTGTCAACATATTGTTGAAACACACATGTCAATACATTTCGGCACATATTCTAGTTTCCGGCTGCAATGGCATTGTTCTACTCAACATTTCCAATTAAGTGAACAAATCTAGACATAATACAAATTCAATTTCATGAAATTCTATTTTCATAATTATGTTTTCTCTTATTTTCATTCAATTGCAGGTAACGAATGAAGTACTGTTATGCATTTGATTTTAGTTGAACGGATTATGCTCTGCTTGAAAGAAAAAAGTAAGCGAAGATAAAATGCATTTTATTGATTCTAATTAAGAAGAGAGTAGAAATTTGTGAACATTTATTTAAACAAAGTAAAGAAATTGGGTAAATGTTTAATTGCTCAGGTAGTTAATAGACCGCCATCTAAGAAATGCGATGACCGAAACGATGAGTAGGTCCTTGAAGCCACTACGCCGGGGCCTTAAATATGGTTACTTGTAGAGCTAGATTCCAGCATAGGAAAATTCACCAAGCTACCTGGCTGCTTTCGGATCGAAATGCTGCTAACCAGATCGATCATGTTGTGACAGATGGAAGACAAGTCGTTTGACTTGGACCACCATCTTGTTGGTAACCGGAGCATAATCGTGTACAACCTGCTGAGGTAATCTAGTGACTAATGCCTAGATCATAACGAAATTATGGAGGGAACACTTCTCCAATCTGCAGAATGGCAGTGAAGGTATAACACTAGGATATGGTGAACCCGATTGCCCAATCGATGACGATGGAGCAGAGGTTCCATTGCCGATCATGAAGAAGTACAATAACACTTACCCTTCTGAAGAACAACAAAGCGCAGAGAGTTGATGGATGGTCGGATGGTCGGATGAAAGCCGGCCCGATGATTGGGACCCAAGAGTGATCTGCCCAATCCATAAAATTTGATCCACGCCAATTACCATGGACCTCCTTAATATCGCATCTAAAATTTTATCGAGTGTGGCTTTAGAACTGGAAATCTACTATCGATCAGTGTTTCACTATACGCCAAACCTTGGAAAAAACCCACGAAAAACTGACGTTGACCAACATCAAAAGCTCCGTCAATATCGGACCTCTCCGAGCCGTTTGCTACAATCTGGCATTACTAAAACCCAGTAGGTCTATGGAAGACCTAACCTTACGTTATCTAACTCTGAGAATCACTACTAACGAATGCCATATCTTCATTCACAATACGAATTCTTTGGACAATAAGAGCCATATAGAAAAGAGTTACATGTTTTTAGGCTTTCCGTGGTTAAGAATTGAACGCAATACTTAAAAAGTGGCAGTTACGTACTTGATTTTGGCAAGCAGTTGAAATTAACTGTTATTTGAGACCATTTTGAATTGGCTGCAAGTTAATAAATCGAACTCGGCACCAACAGACATTCTATGCTGAAGTATTGTATGTGCAACTCATTGACGCAAAGTCCACAAATCAAATATCGGCTACACAGCTTGCCAATTAAGCCACTGAATAAATAAAGCGCTTCATCAGTGGCTGCCAACAATAAAACAATAACAAATATAACATGGACGTKTGTATATGTAATACATATATGTATTAGTGTATGTGCCATAACWATACGGCAATAAAATACGCAATGCTTGCTACCGTGCAATCAATATAAATACCTAAGAGAATACGCACAACATTTCGTGCCAGAGTCTACTATCTTTCCACGCCACATATATACACACACATACACATACACACACATATGCATAATTTTGATCACTTAAGCTGTGCGTCTGCTATATCTGGTGCACACCCATTGCATGTCTGGAAAAAATTGGCAAAGCTAGCTTGGTGGCTGCCACTTTTACAATCCGGATTTCAGCATACTTGCCTCACCCATAACAACCTGCCACGACTCCGCTGCTGCGTTATAATTCTTTGCCTACCAGTTTTATTGCCTCTACTACAATAACAAATAAACAACAACAACAATTAGAAATAGTCTACGATGCATGAAAAGCAAGATTTGCTGCCCGTCAGCTTGGCATGCCAAACTCGTATCCATTCTATTTATTTGCGGCTACTCGTGTCATGGTCATCGGTCGTAAATTGTTCACCTAACGGTCGTATGAAATACTTGAAACTAAGCGAGTCAAATTTAAGGTTATATATTTACATAAATGGTCAGGATAACGCGACGAGTTTAAATCCGGGAGACCGTCTGTCTGCGATTTCTTGATGAAACCTGGTATGTGGGTTCCTTAGTACAAAAAAAAAAAAAAAAAAAAAAAAAAAAAAAAAAAAAAAAAAAAAAAAAAAAAAAAAAAAAAAAAAAAAAAAAAATTGAGTTCGTACAGGCGACCATTGGGACTACTGCTACTCCCACAAAAGGACATTTACTGAAAACCTTTGGAGCGCCATACCTCAACACTAAATGAAGATATAAAACACTAATTTGGTACCGTCCAATGTGTAAGTACACTAAATTTAAATGTCAAACTTCTACAGTTGCATTTTGACAGCTGGTAAGGTAGCAATCTCTCTAGGAAAATCTACATCTCGCCAGTTGYAAATGTCAAGCAAAACCACYTTGCTCTCCACCTGAACTTTGCAAMAGTTCTTTAGCTTCTACCAGCGGGTACTGGGTTAGACACAGCTATGGTGTTTCTGTCCATTCAGACAAAATGACCTTTCCAGCGTAGCCGTTATTCAATAAACTCTGTAGAGCTCTCGAAGAGCTCCTCGCTAAATCGTCTGTGGTACTCGTCAGTACCTACACTCCAAGGGCCATACATCTTCTGCAAAAATTTAGCTCGAAAACTATTTGTATCGCCTCATTCGTGTAGCAGAACGTCGAGAGAAGACTAGACTACAATCAGTTSAAACTGGCAGCTGTTGGAAAGGGAATTCGGCATCGGACTTCAAGAAGTTTTATACCGAAGAGCTCAGWAASGTTCATCCCAACYCTGACATCGCTTSTGGTATTAMCCAGCATYAGTTTACATAGCCGTATAAGTTTTGCAAGGATATTGAATATTGACATAGCGACGTATAGGCAGCTGGCATTCGTGCTGTCTAGGGCGGTGTTTAAATTGATGAAAATGTGGTGCAAAATGAATATCTGATTGACATTACTAGGTCTAAAGCCACATTGATTACGACCAAGCAGTACATAAGGCTTAATAGGTCCTTATATGCAATGTTGAGGAGGCTACCGTCGGCCATACTTTCGTTCGACCATATTCTGCAAAGCAGTCGCCGTATTTGAAAAGCTGGTTCGTCATAGGATCTGTCGGCTTTGTTATTTTTCAAGCGGGTAATTTCTATGCGTACTTCGTTATAGTCGCTTGTTGGAATACCTGTTCCAACATCATTAATTGTGGTTACGGGTCCATCATCACCGGAGCTATTTTAACTTTCTTTCTGCAGCATGATTAATTGTTCCTCCATACASTCATTGGGCTCTGTGCATCGGTGTCCACATAGAAAATAATTGACATTTTGCACTGCGTCCTATGGTCTATTGTGCGCTCTCTTATATCAGGTAGGGCCATAAAAGTCCTGAGCTCTTAATAATTCCAAGAGCTTGTTGGGCGTTATGGWGGTAATATGTTCCCTGTCCACGTAGATGGAGCCAAGTATCTTAAGCCTGCTTCTACAAAATTTCAGGGCAATCTAGAATCAGATGCCCTGGAGTTTCCATTTCCATGTCGAAAAACCAGCAGTTTGCGCAAGACGCTATACCCATCTTGGACAAGTGTTTTTTGAGGCTGCAGTGCACAGTGAAGAGCGCGACAAGGAATCGGTCACCAGATTACCTTCTTAGTTCCTAAATGAGTGAAATTTTCTTTGAAATTTTTTCGTAGACTTTTCGAACCTTATCCATTTCGTCCAGCTTCTCAAGCTGTTCATACTCTCACAACTTTTCCTCTTTCGTCTGCAAATTCGTCCTGCTGATTAGCTAATGGGTTAAGCTATCAGTATCTATTCCGTTCCGCTCCTGCTGTTTATACAGCAGTGTTTACTATACACCAGTTTGATATCCTGTTTGCTTATATTTATTTATATCGAGATGCAGCTGAGTGCTATCACAGATCAGTGGTGCAAAGCGTGTAGAAAACTGCTCGGCTGTCTGTTCTGATTGCATTGTGATTTTTTGTTGAAGTGACGTCTATAAAATAACATTTTTCACGCCTCAATAAAGTCCGTGCCAACCCTCTTTTTAGTTAAATCGACTGGTAACTTTTACTAATCGTAGAGAAGTTTTATACAAACTGTGCCCTATCTTATAATTCACTAGCTAAAACTAAAAGCTCAAAAATTTATTCTTACGTATATTTCTCTAGAGTTTTCTTTTTTACCRTTTTTGATATCTGACACGTGATAGTAGACTATAATTCCTTCTTTTAGCCTTTTCACGTAGTTTTTTTTTTTTATTCTTCGCCCTTTTTTTGTTGACTATTGAATTTTTGTGTTCATTTAGTATGTGMAAAAGCTATTAGGATAGGGATAGTCAGTTAAGTAGGTGTAACCTTCTCGCCATTAATATGCGTTCCACCTTTTTCGGGTGTACATTTAATAYTTATGGAAAATGTTTGCCTGAACGCTTATTAGCTTATTAACTTGATTCGCTTTGATTGGYATATAATCTTTTAATCTTCATTTACTACTGTAAACATATGTAGATGGCTTTTTACCGTTATAAGTTGTTAATATTATATATGTATGTACGCGTATATTTAAGGAAATGCCAAGCCCTTTTTGTGTGTGCTTCGTATACGAGAAACTAAYACTTCGGCCAAACCTTAAAGCTTTTGTTATTAGCTTTAGGAATACCRCTTATCGTTGCAACACGATATTAAATTATAATTCGTTAATGGCTTAATGCCATAAATCAATAATGGATAAATATGAAATTTCAATGACTGCTTGAGTTAAAGTCTCTAAAATTTAACATTGTCAATTTGAACAAAATATTAAATTTGCTAAAAATAAATRCATAAAATTTTAGGCAARACAAAATTGATTATTAGAATATAGYGATGATTTTTAGCTAGCATATAGTAGTTCTTCTAGACATCAAACTCTGTAGGTAATAGCCGAGATAACAATAACGCGTCAGTCGCTACTTCTCTTCGCTACGCGGTGKCAATTGKAGATTCCAAGCGAAGCCAGTTCCTTCAGCACCTGTTGTCTCCAATGGTGTGGAAGTCTTCCTCTGCTTTCACTGTTGGGTACTGCATAGAAAACCTTCAAAGCTGAAGTCTTCTCTTCAAGCCGGTCAACTTGACCTAGCTA